TTTGTCCCTTTTTTTTAAAGGCCAACCAAGGTCCCCCCTTTAAAAAAAAAAAAAAAAAAAAAAAAAAAAAAATGGTGCCAGAACAAAAGGTGGATCCAGTAAAAAATAAAACTTTAAGAGATAGATCAAATTTCTGAATGGGGGTTCTCCTGAGATGTTCTGAGCATGTGTTGTTTATGAATCAGAATCAGAACCTATCCCTGCGTTTCAGTTACCTCCAAAGTCGGAACTCAGAGTTGCGTTTGACAAAGTAGCAGCATTCCAGTTAAAATAGTCAGAGGAGTTGGGATTTCAACATGGCGACGCCCAGAGACTCTCAGTCTGAAGAATATCGTTTCAACTTTCCGTGAGCAAACACCATTTTTAATTTATTCAGTTTAGTGCGGCAGGTTCTATCTGTAAAATTGATTTACATCTTATATGTAAATCAATGTTAAATCAATGAGGCCTCTCCTCCTGATGTGAGGAGCGTCCATAATGAAATGCGAAGTCGGTCTTACAAGCTGGCGTTCCTCACATTATCCCAGTGAGAAGTTCGACTTCGGAGGGCGTCTCAGTCGATTTTTAGACTGGGAAGTCGTTATTTCCCGATGTCGACTACAAATGGAACGCAACATCAATTTAAAATGGTTGAACTCCTCCTTTGTGATAAAACCGTTTCTGTTGTTGTACCTCTGATGCCTACTAGGAAGAGTTGGTTCATATGACAGAACAGTGATACAAGTGAAGGATATTTTTTGAAAGCTGCAACTTGTTACTGTTATCAATTTACAATTTTTTTGGGAGTTTTCTCTTTATTGTGTCCAAGGCAACCATGCAATTTGATGTGAGCATTGTGCTAGTTTGCAGAAATGCTTTTACCTTTACTTTCAAACTTTTTACGGAATGTATGGCAGCCAATTGTTAGTGCCAAATATGATAAATGCTGAGAAAAAAACATTTTTAATTTTATTAAGAATAATCTAGATACAATTCTATATATCTTACCATTTTCAAGCAGCTCTAACAAAATATGAGCTGTTCTAAAGAACAATCTTCTGCCACACTGTTAGAGGCGCCACATTGGGAGAAGCAGAATATAATTATAAATGAGGAAGTTTGACTCCTCTGCTTGCTATTTTTGGACACACCTGTTGCAGGGCAATTATGTTGCTTTTGTCCAAGTCCAGCTGGGCAGAGCGCAGCTTTTCCCTCAGCTCACGGATCATCTGCTGGTACACCAAAATTTCCTCATCCTTCCCAGACAACACTTTCTGTGTGAGGAAAACATCTCGTCACCAGTGCAACAGGCTAATGTTTACTCAAGTAAGAGAACAAAATACAATAAAATCACAAAAAACAGAAAATAGGCACTTTTATAAAAAAAAAAACTATTTGTACATTTTTACACTCAGTCTGTCTCTTGAAAACTCCAAAGTAAGGCGAATAGAAAGAAAGCAACTTTGTTCTCAACAGCCAATAAACCACGCTAATTTTTTTCATTTCATTTGACTTACTTACAACTGTCCGGTGTTTTTTCTGAGCTTCCATAGATCTGTTGGTGGAGAGATTTCACTGAACCACAGCTGACTTGCTTGTTTGTTATAAATCAAGCAGACTAGAGAGACTGGACCCTCACAGGCTAGTGGTTCAAGTCTTTTTCTACCTGTTTAAATGGAACAACGTACTGACGTGTTTATCTAGTAACCATAAGTTGCTGTGTTATAGGCTGCATATGCTCCGGTAAAGCAGGGCCAGTATTTAAAACACATAAAACACAAGGAAAATATTGACCTAATCTGTGAGCTAGCCTAAGAACTACACATCCAGGGTCATTTTAGGCTTTTTTTTCTGGTATAAATTTTCTTACTGCACTCCCAGGGACAAGACAACCAGACGGCTTATGACTAATTTTGGGCTTAAAGGGGCAGTTTTATGTAAAACTGCCTTTTATGAGCTTTACATGATACTACAATGTTATTCCCTATTCAAAAGCAAACCTGGATCATTGCTTTGATTCTTTCATGCATGTTTGAGAAATCCTTGAATCTCCCATGGCAACCATTCAGTTGTGCAAAACGTCTGGTTGGACCTACTTCCGACTTCGAGGACGAAGCTCCTCCTCAGAGAAGCAGTTTCCAAGATTCCGCATTACAGCGCACCCCTCTCCCATGCATCCCCAACTCAGCTCCTTCAGACTAGCCAGAAGCATTTAGCAAACACCTTGCATAACTGCTGAGCTCATTATAGAATCTACTTCTCAGTGAAACGCTGATAAGAAACGTTGTTGAAGGGTTAATAGAGGAGCCAAACTGTGATGACTTCATGAAGGTAGAGTTTCTAAAGAGACAGAGGCTCAATTTCAAGACATTAAATTAGGAAGTGACATTTCTTACACGTAATTTTTAGTATGTAAAGCATGTTTATAACAACTGAAGTTAACAGTTACTCATTTATGCTATAAAATGGCACTATGTGCCAGGAAAACACATAATACTGCCCCTTTAACTGGATTTATTTAGAATAATCTGACTAATCTGTGTGCATTAGAGAAAATCCAATACGGATAAGCAACTTCTGCATCCAGTTTTTAAAAATCACTGCGTTATTAACACATCAGTCTGGGGGAAAAGAATGGTTTGAATAAAATATCAAAGGCCCAAAATGAATGACACTCATACCCCATGATGAGAGAATGTAAACCTCTGACCACAGACGTGTGAGTTAATGCAGTCAAAATGTTTTTCCAAAGGCAATGTAAGGGTTTCTGTAGAGTCAATTTTGTTAGGAATATCTGTCCAAAAACAAAAGATAAAAAGAATGAGTCTTTACATTATTGCCTATATTTGCCACTCACCTTCCACTCCTCTACTTTGGCAGTGACAGCTGCCATGATTGGGTCATTCTCTTCAGTCATGCTTTGAATCTTTTCTGTCAGCTCTCTAACCTGCACGTAAAAAAAAAAAGACAAAGCCTTGCTTGAGTTTGGTGCACAGAAACATTAGATTATCTACTTCAAAACAAACAGGACAGATCTAACACAGCAGCTTTTCTTTGATGATATTACTCACACTCTGACCTTCCTAAAGAATGATAAACGATACCGCGTAACTCATCTCAGCATGGAAACTTATTTTGCAAACCACCCACCGATTCAGGGTGGGATCAAAACACGGACATAAAAAAAACCACACACACACACACGCAGCAGTGGAACGAGAGCGGGCTTTTACTTGAAGCTTCGTGTGATCCCTTTCTTTCCTGAGCTGGTCCATAATTGAGTCAGTCTGCTGCACAACGATCTTCATCTTGTTGTACTCATCTGTCATCTTCTCCATCTCTTTCACAGACTCCTCCAGGCTCCTCTGCAGCTGCACGTTCTGTGTCTTCAGGTGTGCGTTCTCATCCTCTGCTCGCTGTTGGATGCAAAATAACAACAATAAATTAGTACAATGAATGAATATCTTGACCTCTAACACATGTTGCGCACATTAAGAGCTTACAGCCATAAAAAAAGGAGTTGTAAAAGATGATTTATTTAAAAAAATATTTTAAAAAATCAGTGGGATATGCTAATTTATCTCATTTAGTAAGTGTGGTTTCTGTGAACCTGCAGGTCGTCCAGGCATTGGTAGAGCTGGCGGTTGGCCAGGCTGAGCTTCCTCTGAGTCTCGGCGCCGTCGTCTCTGGAGGTGAGCGGCTCCTTCTGCTCCAGCTCTGCACGGTAGAACTCCACGTCCTGCTGGAGCTGCTCATTCTGCCACGGCACAAGAAAGGCAGGAACAGCTTTCAGGAAGAACAACGACCAGACAAAAAATGGTCGAAGCTACTGTTTTCTTTTTAGAAAATTGTGCTGGACTTTTCAGCCATAGTCAGTCACGAAATGTGGGGGCAATTTAGATACGAACATCAAGGTGTTTGAAAAAGATACATGATCACAACTAATCTATCATATGTTTTTTGCCTTCAGTGAAGCGGAGGTGTGTTACTTTAACTGTCAATCAATTTTTTTGTTTTGTATAGCACCTTTCAGCAACAAGGCATTTCAAAGTGCTTTACAATACAACTGTGTATTTTATCGATTGCTAAAAGACTGACAAAAACTAATGATAGAACATTGACTATATTGGGTACATTTAATAGGAACAGTTTTAGAATTATGTCTTTCATATTAGCACCATGTTAGAGCAGCTATGTTGATGTATTTGGTCTTTTGCAGACCAATTCAGAACAAATAATTCTTTTGGTCGGAATTATTTTGTATGAATCATTGCATGTTTGAACAATTGTTCCCTCTGGCGTTGGGAACAATTGTCAAAAACAAAAGTCAATTGTTTTTGACAATTCTGAAGAGTAAAAATCCACATCACTGTGGAAATAATATGTTGTTTTTGCAACCAGGAGCAGTTGATTGGCATCTTAAAAGCGCAACTAATACCTGGACTACGACCCCCAAATCCCAAAGTTCAACGGCCACACAGATTTAAAATTTAGTGTAAATTTTAAATAATAATAATAGTGGCAAAAGCAAATAAGTTGGATTAGCAGTACTTGCCAACAACTGATGGTGTCATCCATCACATTACTGCTGAATATCGTTTTTAGTCCCTGAAAACTGACCGGTTAGCATGTCATGGAAGTCCTGAGACTGTCATACAGCGAATGACTGTTTGAAGATGCTTGGATGATATGAGTAACAACAATGAATAAAGGCGCTTTCGCACTGCATGGAACGGTACGGAACGGAACGGTTCCAGCCCTGTTGTGTTCGCATTACACTGAGGGCGCCATCGAAGCGGTGCCGGACGTCATTATTTTTAAAATTTTATATAGTAGTGAGAGCCAGCTGTCAACGGAAAATCAACGTCTGACTCCATAACAACCAGCGGCCAATCAGCTGCTGGTTCTAAGCAGAACCGCTTGGCCGGCATGATTGGGACCACAGCTCTTGTGGTTCCATGGGGCCGGGTGGAACCGGTGGCAAGTTGTAATGCGAACACGCTCGGAGCCGTTCCGTTCTGTGCAGTGCGAAAGCGCCTGAAGAGTATTTTGGAACTGAACACTTCTGCTACATTAACAGACCCAGAATGGGCTCTTTTGTTGTAAAGTGTGTAACAGAATCAAATTCTCCATTCTTAAATGTGATCTAATTGTACATCACTACAGTTCCTACATTTCTTACCTTCTTCTTAGATTTTTTCAACTGTCCAATGGAAGAGAAACAGACAAAAGAAAGAATAGAACAAATGAAGAAGATTTGAAATCAGGCAGAAATGAGGGCAGGTGAGACCAGGTGAAGACAGAGGAGAATGAAAGGGAAAGATGGAGCTGATGTCTTCCCAGTGGTTGTGTACCTCTCTTTTTAACTTTTTCACTTCGTCCTCAGCCTCCTCCAGTCGCACAATCAGCTAGGAAAAGGAAACACATAGCAAAATGTGCAGATACATTTCTATCATATAATTCAACACAGTTAGCGTAGCTAGCAAGGCTATATCTAATATGAGAAGTATTCAGTGCGTGGTGCCTAAAAGCTTAAAGCAAACAATGACTAATCTGATTACCTCAAAGAAGAAATTAAGATTTGCAATACAAAGTGTTTTTTTCTAAAGATTTAATCCTTTGTTACTAGAATTTACCAGAACATATGGTTCACTAATAAATTCTGTAGTATTTATTTTTAAGGACAAACCAAAAAATTCTGTACGGAAACTAAACAGGAGGGTTACCCAAGGTCTCCTGTGGTGGTGTAAAACATGCAGGTACTGTGGGTGGCACACTCATACCTCTTCATTGGTTTTCTTCTCCTTGCCCATGTCTTTCCTTAACTGGGTCAATTCCTTCTCCCGTTGCTCCAGCTGGGCCTCGAGCTGCCGAATCTCATCCCTAAGAAAGCGGCTGTCTGGCCCAGTGCCGAGCTGCTGAGCCGTATGGATCAGAAACGAGACAGAGAGAAGAAGAAGAAGAAGAATAAAAAGAAGAAGAAAAAACAACCCACACCTTAGTCTCTCATCACCTTCTTCTGTTTACAGAGCCAACGTGCGGCTCAGCTGTGATTGTTAAAGTCCTCAAACAAGGATTAATTTCTTTGAGAAAACAAACAGTGGGATTGCAAATTCTCCTAAAGTCAAAAAAAAAAAAAAATTATAGTAACTCAGTTTCAGTTCATTCAAAACAAGAAGTAAGTGCTAAGACTGTGCATGGAATTAGCAGGTAATCTTCTTACGTGCTCTCCTGCAGTGATCACAACAACCAATCCTGGTGTAGCCAAGGTTACATTCTGTGATTGGCTGAAAGGTTTGGCCTTGATGGCGGAAGTGAAGAGGCAGAAAAAGTGTTTTCAGGTCAGACCCATGACAGAGGGGTCACCAGTGCCATCTGTAAGTATTCACACCCCTTTGGCTGTTTACTTTTGTCACATTAAAAACCACAAACTCTGATGTGTTTCCCTGAATAGAGGAACCAGTTAATTCTTCATTGTGAAATTGAATGGAAATGAATTAAAGAGACAGAAAATTAATTAAAAAAATGTGTCTCGAGAGTCGAAACACATTTTTACTTATCGGACCAATACCGATTAGGGCTGAAAACAATTAATTGAATTAATTGTGATGAATCAATAATTGAAATAATCGTTAGATAATTTAGTACTCTTTAACTGGAATATGGAGACTCAAAAAATATACAAAAAGATAATTTGCTAAAACAGCTGTGTACTGTACAAAAAAATACATACATTTTGCATTAAGGTTATGAAAAAACCAAGTGGAATAGTTAAGCTTCATCCAGTTGAAATTCTATAAAAAGCTAATCTCTTATTAAGCAAATTACTATGCAAATATTAATCGGTTAATCAAAATAAGAGTCAACAGATTAGCCCTACACTGTATTAATGTTAANTNAANCAGAAAAGGCTGAGCTTTTCACATGTACAAATAATCAAATGCTCACTAAAGGAATAATATGTTGCTGTTTTTTAGGCAATAAAATATTTATTTTATTATTTAAAACAGGAATGTATTTGTTTATTTTTAATGTATTTCTAGTAGTGAATACATTAATCTTAAATTGTTTAATGAAAAATCTGCTAAATGTGCCATTTTTTAAATCGACTAATAGTAAGAATATTTGACTAATCAAATAATCGTTAGTTGCAGCCCTAACACAGATATGTTAAAATGTGACTAACATCGTTATATACTGATGTTAATACCAAAATATCATGCATCCCTGCCTGAAATACACAATTGCTCCACAGCCTTACCTTGCGCTCTTGTTCCAGCCTGGACACTTTTGCACGAAGTTCGTTTTCTAGAAGAGAAAATAGAGAACATTATAAACATGCTGTTTTCATAAAAAAATGTGTTTTTCCATCAAACGGCGCGTGCTTACGAACCGGTTTTGACGTGTTGTACACCGATATCGTCGATGAAGCTTTCATGGAGCTTAACCTCACGCTCTTTCATCTAACAGGTGGAGACAGAGACGAGACTGAAGAGCTCAAACCAACCAACATCCATCACGTCTGTGTAACATCACAAGCAAGCACCATATGCCCTGACAACCATCACTAGCGGCGCTATAAACTACATATGAAATGTTCTTCCTTCTTCAAAAATAAATCACGCCCGTGAGCTTCCAAGCAGATGTGCACAGGAGAGAGCAGAGTGTAGAAACAACAAAACCCGACACCTTTAGCAGGGCCTGACCCACTCGGAGGACGCGGATAATGTTCTCCGTAGCTTTATCCTTCACCTCCCATTCTTTTGTCTGCATGGAAAACATGATTTAGTCGGAAAGACTTTCAACAGTGCATTCGCTAATCTAATAACATTGATGAAGTACATCTCTTGCAGTCGAAAACGGCGAGAGGTGAAACCAGAAATATATGTGTATACAAGGTTATAGCTGCATAGACATTTTTTTTCCTTCCTTTTTTTCCTTCGACTTAAGCTCAGTAACGATACTCAGATTTTATTGCTGAGTGAAGACTTCAGCAGATGTTGAGCTGCTGAGTCAAATGTAAGAACTATCCAGCAAGCGGCTGTGAAACTGCATAATGTTAAAAGAT